TAAACGGTCAAAGCCTGTGGAGTCTACCCAAGAACCCGAAGGTACACTTATGGTTTTCTAGGTTCGGAGCTGCTAGATTTTCTGTTTGAATCGGAGCTTTTCCCCGAAGCATGGAACTGTTTGAACTCTTCAATTTAGTGGATTCAGTACCTGGTTGATAGAATGGGTTTGATTTTCTTTGTCTTGGTTCCCCTTGTCTTTAGTTATTGACCCTCGAGAATGGTTTGTGAAAAAAGTTTGGAGCTTCAATTTGTTGCTGCTATGGATGAATTTATAGAACGAAAGGAACCCACTGTTTAGCAAAGTGAATTAATAGAAAATCTCAGAATTGTGCTTCTGTCAATGCTTGTTTGTAGGATCGGGTGTTTGAAAAGGATTTGGCGGCGCCAGAGAAGAAGAAGCTGCGGTTCAAACCACTACGGATGCCTCTGCAGAGCAAGTTATAGAGGCCATGCAGAAAATAGCATCACATATCAAGAACCCAACCAAGTTCTCAAAGGCTTCAAAGCTTGCTATACAGCTAATTCATGCTGGTAGTGTAACTCCCAGCACCAGTGACCAATTCTTTGCCATTCTGGAGGTTGCAATGTCGTCAACCATGTCTTGTACAGATCCTTCTGTGCGTGCAGATTATCATGCATTGTTCTCTGCAGCACATGATGCCTCTGAAGTGAGTCTTTGATTCAATGTTTTGATCATGTTTGCTGTTGGCAAAAAGTTCGGAGCCATTAAGATAAGTTATATTCACCTTTGGAAATTCATTAGTACCTTTATCTTTGCTTTGTCGTGCTTGTAGTGCCTGAACAGGAAACAGAAGCATCAATTAGAGACATGGTCGATTATGGCAGTGGTGGCGAATGACTTGTTCACTGATGACAGCTTTGTGGTATGCTCTTCTGACTCTACTTAATTTTATTGCGGAGATTTCTGAGCCATGAGAATTCTTCTTCTGTTTCATCCATTGGAGTTGGTGGGATGCCAACAGCCATAACCATAGCCCTAAACCCTTGCTGGGGTGAATAGTAATATTGTGCTACAGACTTAACAAGATAGGCTTGGTTTGATATGTTTTGCTGTATGCTTACCTCATTAGATTCCCTCATACAATGTCTCTTCGAATGATTAAGACCCGGGAATTCCTCACTACATTATTGCAGTTTTTCTAAGACTGCCGGTCAATTAAAGGAGACAATAAGCAAGCTACCAATTGTAACTGAGGATGATGATGCAGAGGAAGCTGCAATACTGCTAGATCAAATTGGGACAGCAACTGATGGAAATGAAGAAACCCGGCGAGATACATCTGGTGCTGTAGCAGTGGAAGAAGCTAAGGACAATGAGGCCGATCCATTTGGGCTTGATGCACTGATTCCAAGCACTGTGAAGAAAGATGAGAGGGCAAAGGCAAAGGATGCAAAAAAGGAAGAAGATTTTGAATTAAAGAGACATCTCAGGTCTCAAAGAGAAGCCGTAATCACCTGCTTAGATATTGCTGCTCGGCGTTACAAAACACCTTGGTAAGAACTGCAACCTTGATTTAGTTCCACTGGGTAGCTATACTCAACTGCCACTATAACTGAAGTTGTCGAAGTGCATTCTCTTTTCGACAGGTGCCAGACAGTGATAGATATATTAGTGCAGCACGCTCATGATAACGTTCAGAGGTTTACATCTAAACAAAGAGATGCCATAGAGAAGCTATGGGCCTCTGTTAGGGAACAACACGTACGTAGGAAGCAAGGCAAGTCGGTGAATGGGAAACTTGACGTCACAGCTTTCGAATGGCTCCAGGAAAAGTATTCCACGGAGACGATCAGTATTCGGCGTGCTGTTTGGTAGCAGTGGAGAACGTCGTGCTCAGCAGTGGCTTGGATGAGACCACTTTCTTTTGACATTGTTGTTGTAATATTACTGATTGTTATTGTTCCATTAATAGTCTCTGTCAAGAGAGCACATGAGAAATGTTCGACGACGTTGGATTGAGTGTGTGTGGAGATAACTGCATATAACCGTTTTGCTTCTGACTTGTGTTGCTTCATTTGGTTCCCCTTCCTCGGTAGTCTGCTGTCTCAGGGGGGAAAAATGGGATATGGCAGTTCTTGGCATTCTGGTACGCCCAAGAATTGTGCAGATAAGTCATTTTGGGGCTCAACAGTCAGACAAACTGCTGAGGGGGCGAGAGACATGAGCAACGATCATGCGGCGGAGCTATGTTGGCGTCTGAAACTATTGGCGGCAATTCGCCAAGAAGCTTATGAACTTGATGGTAGATGATAAGGATTTATCCCTTTTTCTTATTCCAATTAGATGCTCCGGCAGGGCATAGCAATTCCAATGTTCAGTACTCAGCAAAGTTTATACCTCAGGACAATTGCATGAGCGAGTTCTTCATAAGAAATTCGGCACAGGACACATGAGCGGGTTCTTCACTTGGACAGGTTGGATCAGTGAGACGGAATATCCCGGAAAACATACAGAAAAGTTCAGATACTATGAGCACGTAATATATGCAGTTGAATAGATAACATACACTGACATGAACAAATTAAAGTTACAAGGTAGTTATGGTGGATAGATCCAATTCCAAGCCAATGCTCATACAGGCAGAACATCATCAGATGATTGAAGGCCTCAGTATGAAAGAAAAACGCGTAGGATAAAGCATCACCTAATGCATTGTATAAAGTGAAGATCAGTTGAGAATATGCCGCCACTCTGGAGCCCTACAGTGCAAGAATGAGTAAATAAGCTATATCCACTAGCATTACTACCTTGTCCTATGTCTGAGTAACTCAGCTTCAACTGAAACTTAAGGAAAATATCAAGAAAATAAATTTCCAGTGAAACTACTAAATGGGTTTGACATAGGCAGCCCGAAGTCAAGAATAAATGTGAGTTTACCATTTTCCTTTTTCCACCTAAGAAGGAAGATGAGGGAAGAAGGGATTCACGTGTCTTGTACAATTAAATGAGGAAGAGGAAGGAGCTAGGGGCTAATAACATTGAAATTGGTGTTATTTGTCCTTCATATTTAGTTTGTTTCGTGCTAATTCGTGTGCATAATCATTAGAATATCATCGATTGCATTTCTATTTTGTCATATTTGATTATGATGTGATTTTAAGGTGCTTTAAATGATATATGTGAATTAGGTACGAAAAGGGGCACGAGTGTAGCAAAATGGATAGGAAGCTGATGATCACGGCCTGAAGGGGAAGATCTTGGCCCAGAAAACATTACACAAAACTGGAGTGAAGATCGCAGCCTGGGAGCCCAAGACCACGGCCGCGAATCTGGAGGCCTTGGGCGCGAACTTCGTGAAGAAGCCAACCGAGAAGGAATAGAGTTTCACCAGTCTAATCACAGTCACCATCTTCCCTAACCACGAGGAAGTTTGTGGCCGCGACTCACAGATCGCGATTGTGAAGTTAGCCCGCGAACTCCCAGCAATCGAAGACCAAAACAGCGACGCCTGAAGATCCCGATCTCGGAGGAGAAGATCACATTCACGATCTCCCTTTGCTCAGCCACGAACTTCTCTGCCCCCCCCCCCCCCCTGAAGTCTATAAATACAAAACCTCTTCCCCCATTTTAGGAGAGGTGATTTTGAGATAGAAATTTATGGTTTAGAGAGAGAGAAGCTGAAGGAAGAAAAAGAGGAGAAGAAGGAGGAGGAGCTAGAAGTGATGATCTGTCTTCCTCAAAATCTAAGTCTTCCTCAAATTCTTCTATGTATCTTATTCCCTCCTTTTATAAAGTAGTCTCTTAAGGTACTAGGGGCTCTAAATGCCATACCCTAGTTTTAGGGTTATTATGTAATAGATAAATATGTTTGGGTATTAAATGAATGCATTTTTCTAGTTAATTGTAATGCCTTTCTAGCTTTAATTGTACTTGGGTAAGTCTCCTTAATCTTCTCTACTATCCTACTTGAGCTTCTACGCTGGGTATGGAGTTTTAGGGTTAGACGGGTATGCGTCATCCAGATTAGGGTTAGATGAATGAATAGGATCTTGTGGTGGACGAGGCGATCGTACCCCTGCCTAAAGAATGCATTCCTAGATGGAACCCGGGATGAAACCTCGGTGTGGACGGTGGGTAGTACCCATTGAAAGGAGCTACAATTTCTTACACATTAAAAAGTTTCTTAAAGCATATTATAACTTTTTTAAAAGTGGACCTTTTTAAAATTTTAAAAAGTGCAAGTACGCACGTCTCTTGTGGGCTCACGCCTCGTGGAACTCGTCGTCTGAGGTATGCACGTCTTCATCTTCTTCTTCCTCGTAATCATCATCAACATGGATAATATCAGCTGCAAAAGAGCCTTCAGCCTCTTCCTCTTCATCTCCCACCTTCTTACCACCTTCTTGAATCCCTTCGCTGTCACCAACAACTCCTAACCCATCAATAGCCTCAATAAAGATCACAATCTGCCCACTTTGGATTGAAGGAAACAAACCATCCATCACCTCGGCATGAGAAAAAATCTCGTGAACCCCTTGATAAATGGTAGAATGTGGTGACATGTTCCACATTCGATACACCCTCTCATAGTTCAAATACATCACACCAACTTGTCGAAGTTCGAAGTAGGAGAGCATGTCAATGTCTATGTCAAATGGCTCTACACTTCTACCAACGTATCGAGGTGTGCCTTGGGAGAAGTCCATCCAACCTTCATGGTTAAAACTCAGCTCAATCTTCTCATTAGCCATCCTGCAATAAAATACATTGTTCGTTCCATTTCCCAACAAAAATGTCTACACAATCAGACAAACAACTCCCCAACACATACAGACTAAAATATAGCGAATAACTCCCCAAAGCAAAACCCCAACTACTAGCCAACGACAACACAACAATCCACAATCCCTATTCTATCAAATTGTCGTAAAAGCTAGATAAAGGAAGCAACACAAGATCGTAGCCGTGAATTTGGAGGCCTTGGGCGCCAACTTCGTGAAAAATCCAAACGAGAAGGAACATAAAGTTTTGCCAGTCTGATCACGGTCACCGTCTTCTCCGACCGCTAGGAAGTTCACGATTGTGATCTCCCCCTGCTTAGCCGCGAACTTGTCCGCCCCCCTGAAGTTTATAAATAGAGGAAATCTTCCCCCATTTTAGGAGAGCTGATTTTGAGATAGAAATTTATGGTTTAGAGAGAGAGAGAGAGAGAGAGAGAGATGAGAGAGAAGTTGAAGGAAGAAAAAGAGGAGAAGAAGGAAAAGGAGGAGAAGCTAGAAGAGAGGAGTCATTTTCCTCAACGTCAAGTCTTCCCCAAATTCTTCTATGTATCTTCTTCCCTCCTTTATGTAGTCTCTTAAGGTACTAGAGGTTCTAACCTCAAACCCTAGTTTTAGGTTTATTATGTAATGGATTAATGTGTTAGGATTTTCAATGAATGTGTTTGTCTAGTTAATTTGATGCCTCTCTAGCTTTAATTGTGCTTGGGTAAGTCGCCCTAATGTTCTCTACTAACCTACTTGAGCTTCTACGCTGGGTATGGAGTTTTAGCGTTAGATGAGTATGCGTCATCTGACATATTAGTGTTAGATGAATGAATAGGATCTTCTGGTGGACGAGGCGATCATACACCTACCATAAGAATTCCTTCCTATATGGAACCCGAGATGAAACCTCGGTATGGACGGTGGGTAGTATCCATTGAAAGGAGCTATGTTCTAAACCCCAGATACGATACCCTAAATCGAGATGATTGACATGGATTTAGGGGAGACGTACTCGGAGGTGTGTGGATAATCACGAAGGCCCACAGAAAAGAGCTATCTCGTCACATTCACTTAACCCAAATTATTTAGACATTGCATGATATACCTAGGCTAGGGTGATAGATAGTTCCCCGAAGTACCTGCATTTATCCTTGTTTATTCTCTCTACTAGTTATTTCACTTGAATCCTCCAACACAAACCCACTTAAACCGATCGGCTAGTTAACAACAACGTGGGAAGTAGGCTAGGGTATCGAGACCCGAGTGAATACAATCTTGATTACTACTATATGACAACACCATTTGAGGTTAAACTTGGCATAGTATGGGGTAGTTATTGAGACGTGCAAACCATTGACAATCACCTGCACGGAATGAATCGATGAAGCTTTTTGGCGCCGTTGCCGAAGAACCTTGGTAACTAATAGAAAACTATCGAGTTGTTAGTTTAGACTTTATTTTCTTTGTTTTCTTGTTTGTGTTTTTGTTATTTTCGTAGTTTTTATCGTTTAGTATTTTTTATCCAACTTTGTACATCACGGGTTGTGGAGTTTTCGTGTGTTTTGAGACTTTACATCATGGATCGAAACGAGTTGGAATGCATTGTGAAGTGAACTATCGATACACTCCTCCAGCAATCTCAATTCCGAGGAGGGAATGATGAAAGTGCCCTTAAACATATGTCATACTTCTTGAGTGCTGCCAAGACTGTGAGGATACCAGGGTACACTCAGGATCAACTTAATGGTATTTTCTTTATTTACACTCTGCTAGGGGAGCCCGCCTTCTGGTATAAGGAATTTCAAGCTACTGCCCCATCGTGGAGTGAAGTCATGAAAAATTTTATGTATCGATATCTTGTCGGTACAATAGCTGTTATTCAGAAGAATGAACAACAAAAGGTCCAAAGAATTTCCAATAGGCTTGGGAACATTTTGGTGTTCTTACACAACTGAATCTGAATCATGGACATTCAGAAGACCGACTGAATGAGCGCTTCTTCAATGGACTCCTAGAGAATTACAAGGCGATCACCGAAAGGAGGTATCCAACTGGATTTAGATATAATAACCTTGAACAAATGAAGGACTTATGCGGCCAAATAGAAAAGTAGGAAGCTAGTCTAGCTAGAGAGTCGGCTATTCATAGTCAAATCAACGAAATTAGAAGAGAGCTTCATAAAATTAAAGGAGAGGGCGATAATGATTCGACACGGGTAGAGCAAGGCTTCGTACTCAACATGAGGGTACCTCATCAGCCTAGTCCCTCCCCTCCATCTATAGAACATCCTCAAGACCACACCACTGAAGAACCTTGTGGGTATTGTCGAGAGTTGAAGCGTCGATTCGAACGTTTGGAAGAAAGAGTATCGGATTGGGTTTCGATTTGTCATCAACGGATGAATGATTTTAATCAATTTGTTCATGCCTCTATAGAATAGTGGATTCTTTGAGAGCAGAGAACAAAGTGGTTGTGGACACCCTTAAGATTATGTCTGCCTCATTTGGGCTCCTAGAGAAGATTATAAGGGAAGGACAACAAAAATCTGAAGGGAAGTAGGGCAGCCATCAAGGAGCGAGCTGGCAATACCGGAGCCCATGACTGTCAACCCAAATGTGAAGTTTGATCAAGGAAAGAAAGAGGACGTGGGC